AATTGGGGTTTTATTGCTGCGATGAAACACCACAACCAAAGTGAGCTGGGGAGGAAAGGGTTTATTTGGCTCACTCTTTCACATCATCAAAGAAAGTCAGGAGAGGAACTCCAATAGGGCAGGAACCTAGAGGAGCTGGTGCAGGGGTCACAGAGAAACTCTGTCTACTGGTTTGCTCCCCATTGCTTGCTGAGCCTGCTTTCTTACAGAACCCAGGACCACCTGGCTAAGGGTGGCATCACCCACAACGGGCTGGGTCCTCCCCTGTCTGTCATTAATTAAGACCATGCCCTGTGGGCTGGCTTACAGCCCTATCTTCTGCAGACATTTTCCCAGTGGGGGTTCCCTCCTCTTTGATGACTCTAGATTGTGTCAAAGTGACATAAAACTAGTCAGCAGACAATGTGAGTGTTTCTTATCACCATGAGGCACCTACCACCCATTGCTGTAGGTGTGTATGAAACAGGAGAAACTGGGCATGTAAGTTGTAAACCAAAAAAAGAAAAAAAAATGGATCTTTGTGAAGGTTCTGATTTGAAGACACCTTTTAAACACTAAGAGAAAGGCTATTTTCATATCCATATCTCTGAAGTCTCTAATTTCACACTAACAAACCATGCCATTATCCGGGCACCTGTTTTGATGCAGGAGAGCCTGCCTGACTTTAGCCTAGGGAATGGCTGTTTTCTTGAACTACTCCGTCTCTGTCAAGACTCTGCACTGTTGTGAAGGGTGGGCTCTGGTCAATTTGAATGAGAATGGCATCAAATGAAGAACTTTCCCCATTTAACTGCCACAACTCACTACGAAAATGTCCCATGCCTGTCATACCAACAGTGCTTCCTGCTCCCCCACCCACTGTGTCCATCCCCATCCCTTCCCTGCCCCTCTACCCACTGTGTCCATCCCCATCCCTTCCCTACCCTGCTCCCCCACCCTCTGTGTCCATCCCCATCCCTTTCCTCCTCCTACCCACTGTGTCCATCCCCATCCCTTTCCTCCTCCTACCCACTGTGTCCGTCTCCATCTCCATCCCTGCCCTGTTCCCCCACACACTGTGTCCGTCTCCATCTCCATCCCTGCCCTGTTCCCCCACCCACTGTGTCCGTCTCCTCCAAGGGCTTCCCAGCTTCTGTGTCTTCCCCAGTGACCTAGCTGAAGCTCCACTGAGTTCCGAGGCTTGCTATGACCCACCCCCATCATCTCCAAGTGTAGGTGACCTTCCCCATCTAAGCTGTGAAACCTTCCAGAAGATTCTCCCTCTGCCTTGGAGCTCTGAGTATACTTTTGACCCTAAGCTTCTTGCCCCTGAGGTTGATGCATGTTGGTTTCTCAGAAACCCTCACTGGGGAAATTTTCTCTGGATTTTTGTCCCTCTTGGCAAGGGGGGGGATGGAGGGTAGGTCAGTGCCTCCAGCCACATTTTCTGGGGACTGTTTCCCCTCATTAATCCTGCTGTCAAGATTAAGAATAGCTCGCAACCCACCAGCACAGGCTAACTCGGACAGTTTCATTCTTTCTTTCTCTCCACCTCACCCTGTTCCTCTGGAATCACCTTCCACCCTCCCTGCTAAATATACATCTCCTTTCTGACCGCACGTCACACTTTAAAAACAAAACTGTTACAAGAGGTTGCCTTAGGCACAAGCATTAAAATCTCCAAGGGAAATTAAAAGTTAGGAAAGCAACAGTGTCAACTTCACATTTTGGACAGGTAACACTCAATTTTGCTTTAAATATATTGGAATTCTAGCAGTATCCAAAGGCCCAGAGGTTTAATGAGGGTGTGATGTGTGCAGGAAACAGACACTTGTCCGAATTATGCAAGTCAAAGACATAGGCTAGAAGTTAGGGGGTTGGCCATACCAGCCCTTCTAACCTGGTAGACACGAGCACTTAAAAAGAAGTTTATTTATAAAAGGTAACCCTGTTTTTAAGGTTTCAGACTACAGACTCACTACTTGAGGGTTAAATCCTCTGTTCCTAGCAATGCCTAATTCCAGCTCTCTGAAGGAATATAAAGATTATGACATATGTGTCTACAACTGGGGCATGAGGCCCTGGGCAATGACCCAAAACAACTTTCCTCAGACTTCCAGCACAGTTCCAGAGAGAATTGTTGGCAACCAGCCTGAGAAAGGCTGAGAAGGCGCTCAGCAACCGGCCAAATATAACCTCCTTCCAGAATGAGGTCAAAGTTGTTTGCAGTAGCTGAGGATGTAAAGAGAAAGGAGAAAGTCAGAGTTCTGACCAATCAGGAGGCAAAGGCAGGGTTGGCCCCTCTGAGCCAACCACAGGTTTATCTGCTCCGCTAGCAATTGGGTCTTAGGAATATGTAGGTGAGAGACCGCAACTCTACCCTTGTTCCCACCACCGCCTAAGGAAGTCATTCCACAGTCCAGAAGTTTCAATGACAAACTTCCTTTCCCACCATTTTGCATCCACTTCCATCTTGCCTTCCTCAGGTTTTAGAATTGCCTCGCAGCTGCTAAAAAAACAAAATCCTAGGACCTAAGTTAGGCTGTGAAGAGCTCCCAGCACTGTGCTGTCTGCATTTGAGGGGGGCAGGTGACACCCTGCACTCAGATTCAGGTCTGTGGTGGTTGCGTCTCACCCTGCTTCCTCCATCCCTCCATTCTGTCTTCTCAGCCTATACAAATCCAGATAGGATGAACAGACACACACACACACACACACACACACACACACACACACACACAGAGAGAGAGAGAGAGACAGAGAGACAGAGAGGAGGAGAGGAGGTAACAGTCTACCAAGACAGCCCCAGGGGTGAGATAAACCCTGCTTCAGACTCCAGTTCTTTGTGGTAAGCCAGATTCAGGGGCTGAGCTAGCAGGGTGCACCCTCCCTGGGCAGGAGACCTTGCCTCTGGCTTCCAAAGCCTTTGAACCTAAACAAGTGAAAGGGGAAGACGTTGGTCCCCTTCACCACCAGGGATTCCTTTGCTGACAGAGCAAATGAGATAAACCATGAAAGGATTTTGGAAATAATAAATTGTAAGAAAATGTGAGATCACAGCATATTTAAGGGGTGATGTGCCGTCTCTTCTAGGCAAAAGTTGGGCAAAACTACCACTAGCATTTAAATTCAAAATTCAAAAGGAAGACTTAAAATCAAACTGAAGCCAGTCTACGGATAGGTGACACTGTTCTCCAAATGACCCAGAGGCTCCTACGAGTCTGACTTAGGCCGTGGATTCCAAGTGCAATGGCCACGGAGCGGAGTGGACTCCATGGGGCAATGGCTGTGGAGAGAAGGGTTGAAGGACAGAATAGTAACTCGGTCCAGGACTCAGGCAGACAGTCAGGACCCTACATCTGCTTATCTCTCCCTCAGGGGTTCTGGAACTCACACACTGAGCAGAGGACTCCAGCGTGCCCACCTCCCTGAATGCCCTCAGTCCGTGGGCTGAGTTACAGCCATAGCATTTTGGCTCACAACACAGTAAGGCCCATCTTCTAAAATACAGTGGCTTAGCTTTTAAATTAAGCTTCACCAGGAATTTAGCACTCTTCGGAGGTTTTTTTGTTTTTAATTACCTAATTGTCCAATTCCCTCAGTCTGTTTTCTGTTGCTGATAGCGCAATACCAACAGACTGGGCAAATTATAAAGAAAAGAAGTTTAGTTCTTAGTTCTAGCCCGGGGTTGAGGGGCTGCATCTGGTGATGGCCTTCTTCCTGAGTCCTGAGATGCGGACAGTGAGACAGTGAGCAAGACCTGGCCAAACTGTTTGGTCAAAAGCATCACCCCAGACCCCTTTATACAAAGAGTCTGGAATATTATAGTTGGGGGGGCCTCATCCCAGCCCCCTGGCAACCATCTTTAGAATACAGGAACTTCCATTTCAAGCCCCCTCCGCCTGGGAGTTGCAAAGGTTCAAACTCCACCTCCGAGAAATGACGCCAAACAGTGACCCCTCCCCAGGGAAGGTCAAGACCACTCCCACAGGCTACTTAAACTGCCGCCGCCGCCCCCCCCCCCCCCCCCCAGAGAATGAACTCATGGTCTCCCTTTCTCTCTCTGTTTCCCTCACCATGCTTTCCTGGTGCCACCCAGGAGGATTGCATTAAACATGGGCATCTTTTATTTGGTTTAATCTAGTCTGATTGGAATTATTTGTGTCGGCGGAGAGGCTCATAGGAGACACACGTTCAAGATAAGCATTTGCTGTCTTAATCATAGGATTGAGAGACACTAACTCACGCAGGCAGAGCCTTCCTCATCCCCTACGGTTCCCAACTCAAGCCTCCCTTCTGAGGGCGCAAACCAGAGTCAGCCACGGCGGTGGCTCACAGACAAGGTCTAAGCCCACGTTAAGTAACATTTTATACCGTGAATAAATTTCTAGCATAATGGCTGAGTGGGTTAAAATGGCTGACGTTACAGCTAAGGTCTCACTCTGATTCAGTCATTTACTCTCCCTAAAACCTAAGTAATTTAATCTCCTCTTTCTGCTTTGGTTTAAGATGTAGGGAAGGGCCTCAGAGGGGTTTCGCTGGGCAATAAAACTAACCGTGAAGCCCGTTTCCAGCCCACAGTGCTGCGTAAATGCTTAACGATTTCCTATAATGACAACAGGGCCTGGGACATTTTACTTTTAAGTAGAACATTTTCATTTGAGTTATAGCGTGGAATACTCTAGATGTCAAATCTTGATGGGTGACTGAAATAAGGATCCTTTTTTTTTCTAGACCTGATTATTTAATAATTTTTCCTTCATTTCCAAAAAATACATCTAATTAAATACATCCAAAACCCACAGAAGAAGCCCATGATGGCCTCTCTAAAGAGAAGGGTCTCCATCAGACACAGTGACTAATCTTGTCATAAGGCCATCATTAGTTTTGTTCATGCATTCTGCTTGGGAGGAAAAACATTCAGTTGAACTTCTATTTTTCTAGATTTAATTGAGAAAAATCATAGCTTTCCAGTATAGCAAGTCCTGACCAGAGTCTTGGGGGCAGGATGGGGCACTCACCTTCCAGAACAGGCAGGCATTCTGCTCTCTGGAGCAGACGAGAGATTTGGTCACATGTGTTCATCCTCCATGAAGCTGGCCCATGCTTCCTAACAGCCATGGCTAAAGAGAAGAAAGGCAGGACAGCCTTTAGAGGGAATGTCTCCAACTTATTTTGTTGTTATGAAAATGTGGCCATGGTACCTTGAACAACTTTCCAAATGCCTCCTTGAATACGTCTGTGTGTTTGAGGTCCACCCTGCTGTCGGTTCCAGTCTCTCTATGCTTTTCAGGTAGCTGGTCCTCCAAGGAGGTTTTCCTCCTCTCAAACACAGAGGACGGCCACTCCCTTCCCACTGGCCCTCATCCCACACAGCAGCTACATTGTGTGGGATGCCGTGGCTACTCATGTTATCCAGGTACCAATGCCCGAGCCGGACTTTTTTATTCCACTTACTGGATGAGGAAATGGTGCTCGGTGGAGTTGTCACCCTAAGCCACACTGCAGGACCATCCACATCCACACTCTCCAGGAAACAGATTGGGCAGACAAGCAAAATGTTCCCGCCTGCACATCCAGCCCTCAGTGGGCCCAGGCTGGACCCAGCTGCCAGGATTTTTAGTTCTCAGGTGTATTCTGTCCTGGTCTTTAAGGATTGTTTTTAAAACTGCATGTATGCTGTGCACCACAGAGGCCAGAGGAGGGGGTCAGACCCCCTGGAATTGGAGTTAACAGTTGTGAGTCGCTGAATAGGTGTTGAGAACTGAACCCTGGTTCATCTCTCCAGCTTTTCCCACACTCTTGGTCTTTTGTTTTGCTTTAATATTTTCTTTTATCGTTTTTCTTTTCATTTTTGTTTTGTTTTATTCAGTATTGCTGTTGTTGTTATTTTGAGACAGGGGCTCACTGTGTAGCCCTGGCTGTTCTAGAACTCATTATATTGACCAGTCTGGCCTCAAACTCACAGAGATTCGACTACCTCTGCCTCCTAAGTGCTGGGATTAAAGGCGTGCGCCATCACTCCCTATCAGGGGCCTTGAGTACCAGCCTCAGTACCCCCTCAGAGCTCAGAATTGTAGGAGAGAGATGCTGCTTGTTCATCCCAGCCACCCAGAACCAAAATAATCACACAGAAACTGTATTAATTAAAACACTGCTTGGCCCATTAGCTTTAGCTTCTTATTGGCTAACTCTTATATTAATTTAAACCCATTTCTATTAATTTGTATCTCACCACATGGCAGTGGCCTACAGGCAAAGATTTGACACATCTGACTCAGGTCTGACTCCGGCAGCTCCATGGTGTCTCTCTGACTCTGCCTTCCTCCTCCCAGCATTCAGTCCAGTCCCCCCCACCCGCCCCACCCTGCTCACCTAAGTTATGCCTTATCAACAGGCCAAGACAGTTTCTTTATTCATTAACCAATAAAAACAACACATAGACAGAAGGACCTTTCACACCACAGAATAGAATGTCTATGGCATTCTGTGGTAAGATCTGAGGGTAAAAAATTTAACTCAAGTACATTGCTGCTACAGCTTTTTATTCCTTTGCAAGAAGAAGAGAAGGAGGAGGAGGAGGAAGAAGAGGAGGAAGAGGAAGAAGGAGGAGGAGGAGGAGGACAGGTGATCTCTGTGAGGTTTCTAGCTTTTACAGACAGAGTTAGAAAATTCCATAGGCAAGGACAATGATAATATGCTTATCAAAGTAACAAAAAGAGCAGGTAGGACCTGATGAGGCAGCACTCGGGAACAGGTGACACAACCCAGGAAAGAGCCAGCATCCAAGAGGCAATTCCTGGCATTCCAAACCATTAGATAAAGTTACTAGACATCCCTGAACCCTGGATTCACCCATTTTCCTCATCTCTTTTGTGATAACCAGCTTTGGGGACGCCCAGATTTGTTTGTTAGCAAAGGTGGGGCATGCTGCCTTTCTACCTCATGCCTGTCTTCTCTAGAGATTTCTATGTGGCCTGTTAGCAGGTAATTTTGTGGGGGACAACTCTATGTAAATTTAACTATTAGAACAATTTAACTGTTAGTTGCTCTAAGGCTTCCTGGTGTGGGGGAATGGAGCAAGGTCATCCCATTGCTCCTGCAGGAGAAGTTACACTGCTGAGGTGTTTCAGGAATAAATCCCATTTTGAAAGGAGAATCATGGTCTCACACCCATTTTGAAAGGAGAATCATGGTCTCACAAGGTTTCCACAGATATGAAAGTGACTTTTCCAAAAGACAAATGTTCCTGCAGATTTGCAAAATGGGTAATTCCATGTGGACATGGACTATACCCTTCCCATGGCTCTGCCTATTGGTCTGTCAGCTGTGCATTCACTGTATAGTCTTGTGGGCTCCAGCAACATCCGGCTGATTTTTATTATATTATGTGTATGAGTATTTTACCTGTATGTATATATGTATGATGGATGCATTGTATGTATCCCATGCATGCAGTGCCACTGGCGGCCTCTAGAGGGCGATAGTTACAGACGGTTGTAAGCCACCCTGGGAATGGAACCTGGGACCTCTGGAAGAACAGCCAGTACTCTTAAGTGCTAAGCTATCTACCTCTTCAGTTCCCCCACTCCCAGTCCTTAAAAATAGCCTACAATCATCGATGTAGCTCTTGATAATAAAATACCTACATCATTTAAAATGTGTCAGTGACCCAGAATGGCAGTGTATTCAGCTCTTTAGTGTGTCACTGTGCACTCCAGCAAGGGTGCAGAATATCTGCATTTGCAAGACTGTGTGTCAGGGGTCAGAGACAGTGACAAACTGGTCTGACTGGTCCTGTGAACACCAAGTAGTTTCCTGCCTGATGAACGTAATAATCTCACAGATTTTTATTCTTCTATTACACAATATGGGTCAAGAAGAAGAAAAAAGTGAAATTGATCAAAGACAATGATTCTTCTACTATTACCCTGTAGATGGATTTTAATTTGGGCCATCAGTTCACAAAAAAACAACACAGAGACTTGTTATTAATGATCGAAGCTCAGCCTATAGCTTAGGCTTCTTTCACTAGCTCTTGTAAATTAAGTTAACCCATTTCTCTTCATCTGTGTGCTGCTACATGGCTCATGGCTTTTACCTCTCCTCCTGCATTCTCTCTCTCTCTCTCTCTCTCTCTCTCTCTCTCTCTCCATTCAGCTGGCAACTCCACTTTTTCTTCCTCCCAGAGTTCTCTCTGTCCAGAACTAGCTGTTGGCCATTGAGTTTTTAGTCAAACCAACCACAGTAATCTTCACACAGTGTGAAAGAATATTCCAGCACACTACCTCTTCTCTATGCAAAGTCTTCATCTGTTCCTATAGAAACATTCAACATTTTTAAATGCAGTGTAAGATGTTTTACTCATTCATCGAATCCATACACCAACTACGAACAGAATCATTTCCCATCCATGTGCATGTGGACTACATCCCTAAAGCAGACAGACAACCATGGCTACTCTCATAGAGTTTACATTCTAGTTGGGACAGACAGAAACAAATAATAACCACAGTGGGTAAACAAATTACATATTGTTTTAGGAGTTAATGTGGGTGAGAGAAAAACAACAAAGGCAACAAAGGATTGAGTGTTTGGAGGGGATCAGGGATGAATGCTCATTTTAAAAGGGTACCTAGAGCTAGCCTCACCGTGACTATTTAAGTCTGTAGCAGAGAGGGAGCTAGCCCATGATAAACACAAGTCAGAAGATCCCAGCACAGTGTGTGGCCTGCTCAAGGACCTTCAGGAGGAACACTGAGAGGGCCAGCATCACTGATGCAGAGGGAACAGGAGGGAGAATAGGAGTCAGTGGTGGCAGTGGAAGGAGATGCTCACATCATGTAGGACTTTGATATGGAGCCTTGGGCAACCTTGGACAGAGATAAGGGCTCTGAGTTCGTTCCAAGTGAAACGGAGAGCCTTGAAATGGTTGTGGGTAGAGGGAGAATACAGGATTTAGGTTCTAAGTGGATCATTCCAACTTTTAGGTTGTGAAGATGCCTCGGAGGTCTAGGGAGGAGGCCGAAGACCAACCAGGAAATGCTGAAGTCTCCATGGAAAGCGATCCAGGTATAAGGCACCAGGAACTCAGAACTCGGTGGCAGCAGAGATGGTCGTGAGAAACAGTTGCGTGTGTTTGGAGTTATGGGCACCACAGCTGTCTGGATTAGGGTGGTGGGGAATGCAGGGAGTAACAGGCGATGATAAGGCTCTAAGCTGGAACTGCCAGAATGGGATTGTTTCCTGAAAAGGGGGAATATAGGCGCAAGACAGGAAAGTCAGGAGTTCAGGTGTGGCCAGGCTTAATGAACGCAGCCAGTCAATGGGACTGGAGAGACAGCTCAGAGCTCTTGCTGGTCTCAGAGGATGCTGGTTCGAGTCCCAATACTCATGTTTGTAGTTCCAGTTGCAGGGGGCCCAACCTTTTCTTCTGACGTCTGTGGGGACTGCATGTGTGTGATGCTCAAGGAGCCATCTAAGAGGAAGCACTGAGCAGGCAAATAGAGATGTGGGTTTAGAGTTCAAAGGCAGGTCATGATCAGAGGTGGGGATTGGGAGTTTGCTTTCTCTGGAAGCCACAAGACTAGGAGAGACCGTTCTAGGGCTCCACTGGCTGGCAAAAGTTGGGGAAAACAATCGACTTATGCAGAGAATCTCATTTTCTCTAAGATGCTAAGAAAGGTGAAGTACAAGTGCTGTTGGGTAACTATTTTCCAAAGGCCTCACAAGTTTGTTTGTTTGTTTAACTCGGGGGATCAAATTACATGTTTAAATTTTACTTTTCACAACGAGATGAACTTTTGTTCAGGAGCCACAGGTCTCTGTGAGGAAAACTCACAAAGGCCTAGGTGAGCAGCAACACAGAGTTTCTTGTGTGAGTGGCCATTCAAAACAAACCAAAATCCAAAACCAGATTTAAAAAAAAAAAAAAAAACGAAGAAGAAAAGGAAAAGCCAGAAAGGCTGGCAGAGTCCTCTGGAAGCCAGGTTTCGGTCCTCGGAGCTTGCCCAATAAGAGAAGGAAAGGAAGACACTTTGTGAGAGGAGCCCTAGTCAATCCTGTGCGCCTTGAGGGCACTAGCAGACCTTGGTGCTATAGGGTGTAGCCCTGACCTGCACTA